CATCTTTTAGGGAATTAGAGAGCTTAACATCTCTGCTGCTTCCTGTTTTGCTGTGACAATTCCTCCTTGTACTTACAAACAGAACTCAGCTTTGCATCCCATCCCATCCTGTTGATTTCTCTTTGGTTACATGGTAAGCGTATTTGCTGTGTATACGGCTGGAGGGTAAAGTCTTCACCATCATCATTATCACCGTCTTTATTATGATTCCCCTAACAGTAACATTGAGCACTGAAATCAATACTGCATGCCGATCCAGAAACAGTCAGACTTTCCTGATGATAGGGGAAAGGTGGACATACTGAATTAGCTCTGGAGTTAAGCTTTTGCATAACTTTTTATATAAATAAAATGTGAATTAAAATATGCGACAAAATTAAATCCATCAAATCTAATAAAAGAAATAAAGAAAAGCAAAGAGATCTTGGACCATAAATCCCATTAACCAGGCCAAAGAGAAAATGCGTTAAGAGGAAGCTGCACTGTATCTTTTTTGCATTGTCTGTTGGAATAATCTTTTTTACTCATTAAGTGGAGTGTTTAAAAATCCTAGTATTTCTGAAACAAAAAGAATACACAGCCACTGAGCTAGCTGATTTTTATACCTTCTTTTTCTGAGTATTGTCCCTTACTACAATACAGAGCCATTTCTTTGTTCTCAGAAGCAAGCAGTTAAATTGTATGTAAATGTATGCAGATTAGATGCTGTCTAATAAAGAGAGGCATTAAATGGAAAAATATTTAGTTTGGCAAAAGAAGAGAAAAGAGAGGAAAAGAAAGCAGGTGTATTTTGGAAGAAATAAATGAATGAATTGTTAAAAGCCCTCTAACTTTGGATGAAGATTTCTAAAAAAGACTATTTAAAATTCTTGAAGGAGGTTTATTCTTTTGTTCTTCCATCCTCTTCCAACATTGTATATGTTACATATACATATAGTGGTTATATAAATTTGACATCTTTGACATGCTGCATTCAATTTCTGTCTATTTATGTGACTATCAGCTGTTACATCTTTTTATAAACTTATAAACATGATGGCCTAGGTGAATAGGACACTATTTTCATATAGCTCATGTAAAAACAATTATGTTGAGATAAATTATATCATAATATAAGCCTCCATTGTGGCTACTAATATACCTTACCTGTATTAGAAGATGGTTTATAGATTATAGTTCAGACAGCATGAAGTCTTGGTTATCAAAGGTCTGTCTGTCTGTCTGTTTATCTATCTATTAATGTAGATTCACTGCAGTTTGCACACATACCACAATAACAAAACCATACTATACATTTAAAGCAATAATCCCCTGCAGTCTCTCCATGGTGAAAAAGCAGTGAAGTGCAAATGTATGCTCTCTGAAACAATTTTGTCTTGATAGCTTGTATAAAAATTTCGGAGAACCGTCTGAATTTGTAGAGGTAGGTTATTCTACAAGAATGGAATACATACCAACTCAGTAATAGCCATTAGTACTGATGTTTCAGTAAAAGGAGGAACCATCAGTTTTTTGTGGTGCAAACCCAAATTATGTTATCATCATCATCATCATCATCATCATCATCTACTACACAGTCAGCCAGATGTTTAGACTGGATTTGGCATTTTTATACACCTATCGAGTCCTTCCCAAGGACTGGGATAGGCAGATGTTGTTTGATGGGGTTAAAGGTATCGTCACAGGAA